GGGAGGGCAGGAGCGCTGGGGCCAGGCAGGAGACCCCTCTTGAGCTGCCCCCATGCCCCTCCCCCACCCTCTACTTACCTGGTATGGAGCCCAGGTCCAGGTCCTTGCAGCTTGCACCGCTGCTCACTCTGCACAGGCAGGCAGCATGCTTCAGCACCAGGGCAAGGGCCAGTGAGCAGCCATATCGATGCTCTGGCTGGCTACCAGAGCAGCTGTGTGGAGGACCTGAGCCTCCAGTTGCCTCAGGGCACAGTCCAGGCCCACTTATTTCCCTCAGGGTATTTTTTGATACCTGGATCTCCAGATATTAAATTTTGACCCTGCACTACAAATATGCTGGAAGCAGGACTGCACTGCAAATACGCTGTTAAGCTGGAACATCAGGTGGACCACGGTACTGTACCTTTTTCAAGGTTAGGGCATTCACTTTGTCCTTGAGCAGGGAAATCTCCCAGACACACACAACAGAGCTTGTTCCGGAAGTGATGACAGTTGTTGGTGTTGGGCACACAGCACAGAGGCACTTTCCCCAGTCTGCCATGCATTCGAATACTGTCATGTTCTGTAAGAGGTAAACAGGCTTTCAATCATTTATGACAAAAATGCATTTAACTACAGCTGGTGTGCATATAACTCAGATGAAAATTTCAGAGCTAGGAAAACTTCAGGCCCTCATATTTCCACTTTGAGCCTGAGAAAGGAATACCCATCCTACCACTTTGATTCTGACTTTCCCATTTTCCACACTCATAAAGCCTGCCTGTGTAACACCATGGCTGTATGGATGTTTGGCTAGATTGGAAGACTGGCTTTCTGGCTAGAACCCCAATCTTGTGAGACTTAGAATCAAGTCTTCCCTTAGCCATAAAGTTCCTGTAAGACCATGGACAATTTCCATCTACAGTGATGGCAGCATAATGTAGACCCATCCAACATAACGTAGCCTGGATCCTGGTAGCAGTGCAGCAGCAACAACATGGGATAATTTACCCTGAACCTTGGAGGGTGACTCATAGGATTTTGCCTTCCAACTGAACTCCATGCTATCACAGCTGGATTGCTATCGGTATTCAAGCTAGAGTTTAAAGCCAGTTTGGGAAAGTCTATGCTACCTTGCAGTAACAGCAGCATAGACATAACTGTAGCATGGACATACTTATGGTCTCTCTGAACTTCAATTCCATATATATATATATATATAAGGGGAAAATAGCTCTCTCTCCCTGATAGGGGCACTGCAAGGATAAAAGCATTAAAGATGGTGAGGTACTAAGATGCAGGGACTATAAGTAGGATTACAAGTACTACAGAAGACAAACAACCTGTTACTTCAGTTCATTTGTTAGGGGCTAGTAATTGTGGTACAAAGGGTCTCAGGTTCTATTCCCCAAGTGACCCATAGTTTCTGTACAACCACAGCAAAACTTTTGGTACATACTGAGCTCCCAATAGGCATCAGAAAGCTTGATGGCAATTTGAACATCACATGACATGGTCATCTATGCTACTGAACTCTTCACTAGACCCGTAAGAAAAGCAACAGCAAATAACTTAGATTTAGCTTGGGACTATGCATTGGCCTCTGTCCCACTGAAGTCAAGGGTAAAATTTGCAGTGACTTCAAAAGGAGTACAATGGGGCCAAAGCTCAGGGCTTCTTGAGTTCCCTTTAGCAGGGTTTCTGCAGCTGTTTTTATCTGCAATGAATCTGAACAAACTTCAGTTTTTCTCAAGACCCTCAAGGGATATGGGCAAGAATTACTTCTTTCAGTTACTGAAGGGTAAACTGAAGTACTTCATGTTTGAGCTAAATATGTCTCCAGCTGTTAGATGAAATATGTATAATAAAAACAGGAGCACTGGCCAAGTTTGCTGATGACACCAAACTTTGGGGTGAAGCGTCCGCACCCAAGGACAAGATGGTGATCCAGGCCAACCCTGACAGGCTTAGAAAATGGGCAGATGAAAAGCTGATGGCTTTCAACACCGAAAAATACAAGGTACTCCACCTTGGAAAGAAAAACCCGCAGAATGCTTATAGGCTCAGCAGTGCTATGCTTGCTAGCATCATGGCTGAAAGGGACTTGGGGGTCATGACTGACCACAAGATGAATATGAGCCACCAATGCTTCTCTAGCAAATCCCAGGATGTTGTTCTCCTGCTGTACTTGGCCTTGGTGAGGCCGCAGATGGAGTACTACATCCAATTCTGGGCTCCACAATTTAAAAAGGATGTGGAGAAGCTTGAGAGAGTCCAGAGGAGTGCCACACACATGATCAGAGGGCAGGAAAACAGGCCTTATGATGAGAGGCCACAGTCTGACAATGGGAAAGGTATTATGTAAAACAGTGGTGTTCAACTTTCTGGCCCTGTGGCCTGGATAAGCTCTCCAGGGCTGTACTCAGACCACCAGAATATACTTCTCTCCTTTTGGAGCAGACATTTATTTTCCTGTTCTATACATTACTAGCTGATATACTCACAGGACCCCCATTGCTACAGTGGTAAAACATCTCCCAATAACCTGGGAAATAGCAAAGGGCATTAATTCCCATTTTACCTACTGAAATGGAGAGACAGAGTGACATGCCAAAAACCAAACAAGCTATTTTTGTTCATCAGGGAACTGAAAACCAATATCCTAATTACCCTAACTATAGGACCACTACTTTCTTCTCAGCTGTTAGTGCAGCTCCAAGTGACTGGCACCATGGTTCATATTGTTGACTCTTTACAGCAAAAAAGTTAGATAATTAACTTTCTAGGGGTGTGGACCTTACTGTGTTTGATGGTAGGGTTGCCAATCCTCCAGGATTGCCCAGGAGTCTCCAGGAATTAGATATAATCTCCAGGAGACTGATGAAAGTCACCCAGAAAATAAATGATAGGCATTCATTAAAATAAATATTAAATGCTGAACCCAATTTATACAGTAGGCCAGTGGATTTTTAAAAGGTAATAGTAATGTACATTTGCCTTCCTGAGTACAGTACAGTAGATCAGTCATTAATATCACTACATCATGTGATGAAACCTCCTGGAATAGATTCAAACAGAGTTATCAACCCAATTTGATGGATATACTGTTCTAAGCTTAGGAAATGGAGGGGAACTGACAGATGGTTCTATCCTGATCCCAGGAGAAAGTTCTGCAAGGCAAAATTTCTAATCAGGAACCAACATTCGTAATCTAGGCCTCTTTTTCAGTGTATCAGATAGTACAGTGAGAGGAGCTATAGTAGAACTCGGGATCAGTACTCTGGCTTAGTCAAGTAAGGACCAAAGTTTTCAAGTTTTCTATCTTTGGGTACTGACTTGAATTTCTCAGAGAGCCCTGATTTTTCAGAAATTGCTATACAACCATTTGCTGAAAATTAGGCCTCTTCCCTGTATCTCAGTGATGTACCCTATATACCAAGACATGCCAAATCACTAGTCACCTTTGAAATTCTTTGATTTTATCCTTATTTACCTTGTCAGATCCATAGTTTGCAAAGCAACAGCTGAAGTCATCAAATCCCCAGCAGAAGGTTTTGTTCCAAAGAGGGGGAATCAACACTTTATTTCTCTCAACAGCCAGAATGCTTTTCTCCGTATGAACAATGTGTCCAATGGGTCCTTTGGGTGACTCTGACAGAAAGACAAATATCAGAGCTCATCCTGTTAGCAGAATGCTAAGACTGATTTTGTTCTCTTGTGTCACTGACCGCGCTTGTGAGTCTTCATAACCATGCTGAGTTCCAGAACCACAGCAGAAACCCACCCAAGGAATGAGATGGAGAGACCATGACAGGTGGAGCTGTGGAAGCAAATTGCTGTCTGAGGTATCCTGTGAAAGTCATGAAGTGTTTGTCCCAAGTTTTACAGGACTGGTATTGGCTCTCTTTCATATGTATAATGCCTTATTCTATCACATGAACCTGGACTATATGGGTCAACTGCTTGTCTACTGTCAAAACTAGGATGAGAACTCCCTCAAACCCATGAAATGTTAAGATGCACTAAAGAACAATCACTGAAGGGTAAATGAGGACCAGCAGAGGTGGGATGAAGGGACAATTGTCCAGGACCATCTATAGTCATTTTGACTGTGAGTGTTTCCCCCTAACAGAGCACTGTCCACAGTATCCCCTTGAAGGATGGGAGGGCACGTGGAGTAAATGAGGGATGGAAAGAAGTTTAACTTTGGGAGCTGCATAGATCACCAGTTTGCAGGAAGGGCTGTTATGCAGGGGGGAAGTATACTTGAAAAGTTATGTGATTTGGACAATCACTTTTTGTTGCCTGTGTAAATCAGCTTGCCTGTCCTGTTATCTTATACTTTTAAAGTGCAAAGATAATCTAAAGAATCTACAATGCCTACCACATGTGGCCCCTAATCCTGGATGGGGCATTTAGGCTCTACTGAAAGAAGAACTGGTAGCAATGTATCTTTCAACATTTCCCTCCCCCAAAAACAAAAGCTAAACTAAACTAAACAAAAAAAAAATGAATGTACTTTTTGAGTACTCATTATTTTTCTGAAACTAAAAATTTCAAAAAGTGTCAAAAATTTTATATTTATATTTTCCTTTCATCTTCCCTTGCAACACAATGGATAGTGGTATGGTTTGTGGTTTTCTTGTATTTATAAAAATAATTTTCCTTTTCCATTTTCTAAACTGTATTTTTCCAAATTGCCTCAATTTGGGAGAAATTATGAATCTCAAAGTAAAAGAGGGAAAAAGAAAAGAAAAAAAATGAAAAATAGGGGAGAAAAAATCCTGGATACTATTCATTTTACTTTACCTCATGAAAAAAGGAGGAACAGGAAAGAAAGCAGAAAACAATCTTTTAAGATGCTACGTATTCAAAATATAAACATATATTTCTTTACAATTAAACTTTAAAATAGGTGAAACTGTTCTGCTTTGAACCCTACAAAAAGGATTTTAATTTTTTACATTTTTCATGACCTGTTTTTGGTTTTTTTCAACTACTTATTTCTCAATGTATAGAAATAATTACTTAAGGACATAGTAGCAGGGATGCTGCTGAGACCAATTTAATGTTATACTAAAATAGATATTTTTGAAGATGCAAGGGTCAAAAACATCCAGATTTATTCCTGCACAAGGAGTATGCACTCGTTAGTACACAAAAAACTGCTGAATTCCTCGTTACCTTTGAGAGTAACAGGAGACATCTTCAGATTTTGCAGGCTGCTGAGTAATGGAGGTAAAAGTCCACTAGAATGAAGTACCAATGCAGAC